TAGAAACCTTTTTTTTTTTTTTAAATAATCCTTACAGTAAGAAGACAACCTTTGAGGGCAAATCAGAAGTAATCCCAGAGTCGTCATGGAGATTAGTAACCTCATTTTTTTTTTATTTGCTCTGGCCTGGCTTTTTCTTCTCTTCCCCCACGATGGTACAGGACATGCAGAATCACCCACCTGGTCTCACCAGTATTAGTTTTAACTACGCCATAGGTTTAATAGAGAAAGAAACCACCAGAAACTTGGGAGCACACACATGGCAAAAGAGCCATAGGTATAAGAGAATATCCCAATTTTGCGGCAGAATTTAGTCACATTCAGAGGGGTGTTTTTTGGTGTATATTTGCTTCTTTGGAGATTTCTAGAGTCACACATTCAATTAGAAACCTTTCTGCCAGGGTTGAGAAATTAGTCCAAACCTCAGCCATTGATAACACCACTAGTGCGCTCCTCTCCTTCCAGATGGAAATCAATTCCCTAGCAGAGGTGGTCATGCAAAATCATCTGGTATTACACATTATCACTGCTTTCCAGGGAGAAGACTGAGCTGTTGTTAATCAATCATGCTGCTCCTATATCAATAAGACAGAAGTTGTCTCAAACATTCATGATCTCCAGTGGATCATGTCCAAGACTCAGTGAGTTACAAGAGAAACCCATGTAACAAATGATGGTCGTGATAACTGGTGCAATTCCTCTTCCCAGTTTACTTGGCTCCAGGGGACTGGCCTGTTAGCCACCCTTGGTAAATGGGTCCTTCTTCTTGTTATTCTTCTAAGCTTTGCCTCAGTTTCTGTATTACAGCGTGTTCCAGTCTTTCATCAAAAGGGAGACTCATGGTAGTACATGTTAATGATAACAAGTATGTTAAAAATCTTACAGAATTAGCTTTTAGATAGGTGATCCATGGGAGTCCTCTCTCCCATTGATCAAAGGGGGAAATTGAAGAAATTAAATTGATTCTATATCATTTTATGATCAATTCTATTCTGTAATTGATCCATTTCTGTATTACTGCCCCATTTTGAATGATTGTTGAAGCCACATTTCTTATGTCTCTTGGTCAATGAGCTAAATTTAAAAGTTCAGCCTTCTCCTCTGAATTCATTTAAAGTTATAATTAAAGGTAAAAACTGTTATCCACTATTCCTGTAGTTCCTGGGAAAATTCCAGGACATGTTTGTTGACCTAGTGTATTTCCAGATGATATATTATATATCTCTCCACGTCCTTGTACAATTAAAGAGGTTCTTATCTCCCGCTTACTAGCCAGGCAGTCCACTGAGAACATCCTCAGGATGCTGATAGGTCTCATAAATCAATTAAACCTTCCTTAATGACAGAAACAGGTGGTTGCTAGTCCCATGTGGGTGCTAGCCCATTTTCTTTGATATAACCAATCATGTTGTCCCCACCCCCATGATGCTGTCATCCCTATAACCTTTCACATTGTTTTCCCCACCTACACAGTTCTGTCCTTTGTTCTATATTTATAAAAAGGAGCTATGATTTCTCCTCTGTCATTGCCTAACTGAAGTAGCTACTTGACCTACTTTGTTAACAGGTTCATGCCCTGCTAATAAACTGATAAAGCTCAGAACTCTGTACCTCAATTTACCTTTATTAAATCCTATCAAGACAGGCCTCAGTTGTATTCTCCTCCTCAATTCTTAGCTGGAAGTTGGTTCCATCACTTGCTGTGGCCTTGCCAGGCCCTACTTGGATTCTAGAGATGATGTCATCACACCTCCTACATAGCCTTCCAGGAGATAGTGACCAGGTGCTGGATTGACACTGTCTTCGGCTTTTGTTCTCAGGGCTCCTCAAATTGCAAAGTCTTAATGCACAGTGATCTATGGGGGGGGGGCGGGGTAATTCTGTCCCTGATTCTGTTCTATCAGACCAGAGTTGACACCTGATGCCTCTACTTTCCCCAGCTCTGCCAGCTGAGTTTGGCTTTCCTGGCGAAACTCCTCTTTCTACTATCACTGGTTTCCCTGGTGAGGCCCCTCTGTCTATTCCTATCAGTGTCTTACTGTCTTTTTGTGTAATTTGGGCCTGGAGGGAGGAGCTTACTTCTGATCCTTTTCAGTTTTATCACTTATCTTTCTTGGGTCCTTTTGGATATGAATTAGGGTTTATGTGAGAGAGCTGGGCTTTTCAATGACCTTTTCTACTGTAATTTTAACTGGAAGTCTGTGTTCTTTTGAAAAACAAATGGGACAGTTCTTTGAATACATACATACATAAATATATATATATGTATACACATATACATATTTCAATTTGAATATATATATTTTATATATATACACTTGCATTATTATTAATATATTTGAGCTTGCCAAATGTTTGTCTCCTCAAAAACAATTCAAAAAATGCATTAGAAAAATACAATTCTTTACAAAACTTCCTCAGCTTGACAAAGCTTTTGGGGGGAGGTTAGTGGCTGCATGTGATAGTAATAGTAATTATACATATTTACTTTTCTTTTTCTCCCTTGTCCTGTACTGTTCACACCTCTTAGTATCTTTGTGGCATTTCTGCTACACTGCAGCATTAACAATTCATTTTCTTTATCACAACTCTGAGAAGTACAAAGCCCAAGTACTAGGATACCAGTTTTACAGGTAAGGAAACTGACCTAGGGTCGAACAACTTGTAAGAGAAAGAGCTAGTATTTAAACTCTTGCTCTCCTGAGTTTAAGACCAAAACTCAGAAACACAGAATTTTCCAAGTGGAAGAGACCTCAGTTGCCCCATCGTACAACCCATCTACAAAGGAATTCCTAATCTAACATTCCAAACAAGCAGTCATTGAGCCTGTGTTTGAAACCTTCCAATGAGGGGAGAACCATTAGCTCTCCAGTGTGCCCATTCTACTTTGGAACAGCTCTGGTTGTTAGGAAGGGTTTTGTTTGATTTTTGCTGACATCAAGCCTACATCTGGCCCTTTGCAAATTTCAAACAGTATAATGTGTTGCAGATGCTAAATCTAGTTCCATTTTTAGCTTTTTTTTTTTACAGGAACAAAAGAGAAATCAAAGAAGTTTGTTTTTGTCTGTGAATGCTCACTTGAAAATCAATTCACTATTAAGGAATGAGAAACAGAGCAATGGTATAGTAGATATATTGGAGATCCAAAATAAATTGAAAAAAGCTGAGAAGGGAGAAAAAGAAGAAACTTGGAGGATTTAAAGATATTTAGAAAATTAACTAGAAGAAAAGACCAGCTTTCAAAACTTAACCTAGTCTGAGGCCTAAGTGACAAATTTGGGGATAAGGTTCAGTTCCAGATCCATGGTTTCAGTTCCAGATCCATGGTTTCATCAGTGTAGGAATGACTATAGGTCAGCAATTCTTCCTTAGCAACTCCTCTATAACTTAGTTGAATAGAATTAACTGGGACAATTTGAGGTTAAATGGCTTCCCCATGATCACACAGCTGTTAATTATCAAAGGCATGACTTTGAATACAGGCCTTTTTAATCCCAGGGGCATTCCAGATTTCCAGATTTCCACTTACAGATTCCATCATTATGTTTTAAGCCCCACAACATTCTGTGGCAAGTTAGTTCAGAAAATTCTTCGTTAGAGATTACAAGGCTAGTGCCTTGGAGACTGGCTATTTACACCTAGATTCTATTCTTTTTTCTATCATTTGTTCTTTGACACATGCATTAGTTAGGATTTAATTATTAAGTTTCCATTTAGGTCTGTCTTTTGTTTGTGTTCCCTGAATTGGTCTTTCTTTCTTTCTTTCTTTCTTTCTTTCTTTCTTTCTTTCTTTCT